GCTGTCATGTATGTAATATTAGGTATAAAACCATCAAAATTGACTTCATTTTGATTAAATAAACACAATTTTTTGACATTATTAGTTTCTTCCTATTGCTTTTGAGATCATATTAGTTTTGATTTCATAATTTATCCCCAACATCTATGTATTTCGAATGTGTTTTTTATATTAGATATCTAGTAACCATGTTTCATAAATTTTCTTTGACACCAACCATATGTATACTTGCATGGTTCTTTTTGATGTTTTATTGGAAGAAGTTTATTGTGTTTTTAATGAATAATTTCAATCATTCACTATAATTTTTATTTTAAATTTGAATATGAAGATTTATAGGTAGTTGATAATGTATTCTTATACATGATTTATGTTGCAAAATTAAAATTTAAAACTCCATAAAAGTATGTACAAAGCCTATCATCTAATCTAATAGAGAATACACGAAAGATGGTAGAGAGATTTGATCGTATTTTGTTAAAACTATATAGTTTTTAATGGTTCTATACCTAATATTAGGTGTATGACAGCCACATATTCCCTAAACCCTATATATATATATATATATATATATATATATATATATATATATATATATATATATATATATATATATATATATATATATATATATATATATATACACACACACAACTAATGATATTACTATACGAATCCCTCCTTAATCATATAAATCATCAAATCATCAAATACACAAACATTATTTCACTCTCTAAGCATTTTAAGATTAAGTGGAATTTTCCAAAACAATTTGAAATCATAAAATCATAATTGATAAAATTGACAACAAAGATCTTTCAAGGACCCATTCCATAATTCTCAAGCATATGGACCATGTATCTAATTTTCTCAAAAAAAAAAAAAAAAGCAACTAGCTCCCAAATAACCATAGTGAGATGATTATAAATTTTTGTTTTTTGAACTGTGATCACACGTCAAGCCAAGAATCTCACTACGCGTCTCACACATCTCAAATCTATATTTCCTTCCTTGGATCACGGACTTCAATAATGTCTCAAGTATATTGTTTTATCATTATGTAAACACATTTAAAAAAAATTCCAAAACACAAACATCGTATTTACTTTAAAGAAAAAACATAAGAGTATTTAACTACGCCTGCTAAAATATCCAAAAAGACAACAGCTGTGAATGTGCATATACAACTGTTTTTATCTTTAACTCTACAAACGTTAATTTCAAAATTGTTTGATTAACGGAATAAGTGACGTCTGTCGTTGCGACGTAGGCTTCTTTGTCTTTTTTACATCACTTTTATTACATATTTAATTTAATTTAATTCAACTGGTTGATTAATGTATATAAATTTTACTAGGGGTGAGGGGTGGGGATGAGGAGGGCCTATAGGCTATAAGTACAGGTTTTTGTGAAGGAGAAATTATGTAAGATCTTCTTTTCCACCTCCATTCCCTAACAAAAAGAAGAGAAAACCCTGATTTGCTCTTTCTAAATATAACACACCCTTATATTTTTAGTCATATGATCCAACAGATGAAAAATGGCGACATGTGAATCCATGGGAGCTATAAATCAAAGAGGGTAAATTTGGATCGCAGGTGAGATGACACCGTGCTACTATCTGTGGGAGCTTAGGGTTCAACTCTAGCCAACACGGTTTGTAGCTGGTGTCTTTTCACTTGCGATCTAAATTTATCCTTCTAATTAAGAGCAGCTATCAAAGTTATCATGAAGAAGTTTTGTTTGAAATTTATGTACTAACAATTCATGAACCCTTTTCTCCTGTTTGAGTTTAGAACTAGTTATTGTTGTAAGTAATTTCAACTCCAACTTTATTTAGATTTTTTAGCTCTATGTCTGGTTTTTAACTAATCAATGATAAGATCCTTATAGGTTGAAGTCTTGAAGATTGGTTTGATGAAATTGGAGCTTTCAGGATGCAGTCATACAGATTTCATATACACCATTTTTGCTTTTGTTTTTACATCGTTTGACAATGAATTTAGTACCCATATATCTTCTTATAGTACTCTTAATTATCTCTTAGGTCATCCGGTATGCAAAGCAGCGAACTTGCCAAAGAGGGTGGACACCCTATGACAACACCACTCCACCAACACCATCACAACCACGGTTTTGGTAGAGAGAGAGAGAGAGAGAGAGAGAGAGAGAGAGAGAGAGAGAGAGAGTTTCTGTGGCAGCCAGTAGGGCGGTGTTCACGTCGTGACTTGTCGTGCCACATCATCCTCATCGATTCTCATAAGAAGTTGAGAATTATAATTGATGCGAAAAGAATACCGAGTCGATCAATGGTTATTCTCTTCGCCTGAAACTAAGCCATGTGATTCATGTCTCCAAAAAGTAACCCAATTATGATATTGTTCTAGCGTGCATATGAAACAGTTATTTGTAGTTTGTACTCTACCACATTAAATATTTGATTGATTTTTGTTCCACTAAAATCGGAATGTATCTTTTTTTTGTCAATAATCGACAATTA